TTGCACATGACCACGCTTTCGGTCAGGGGAAGATACTTGTTATACATATGCTCGCTCACTTTGCAAAAAAAGAACTTCAGAAGCTGTTTACTTTGTGGAGTAGAAGGTAAAAGCTTTTAAAGGCAAACCATCTAATGCATCTTACGCGAGTGCGGATGTAAGCATAATCGAAAAGGACGTTGATTTTATCGCGCGTCAAGCTTAAGAAATAAATAAATTCAAATAAAATCAACTGTACAACCCGTGCGTTGATCAATCAGACCGCCAGCAGTAGTTGTCTTCATCTCCGAAAGGGCATTACGAAAGGCAGGTTAAACAAAACACCTCAGCATGTTTGACCATCCTGAAATTTTCAGTTTGTCATATAGTTAGTTTGGAATATACCATTCACAAAGACAGGGACCTCAAGCCGTATAGCTGTTTTCGCTAATCCCTCTGGCATTTACTTGCCCTTGAGGTGTCCGCAATCCCATAGAAGGAAGACGATGCCCTATTCACCTCCTGCTCCGCCCTTGGAGTTGTACAAATTGAGAAGTTGTGTTGAACGTCAATGAATGAGCTATTTAGCAGTATTTTGGACGAATATTGCAGGAAAGAGACAATGCAGGCAGCAAGGGGTTAAGATACGTACTTGAGGCAAAACTTAAGGCTAATGGCTCATATCCACTCAGTGGTGTACTTTTTGCAATTTCGTCCCGAGGTGAGGCGTCCTCTCAGCTATTTGCGCACTTCGGAGCCCCATGAAGTATTCATATTATAGTTTGCTGTGAAGTGCATGCGCTTCCGGGTGATGAGGAACTGAACTTGGGAAAGTGTCGGCAAAGTGTAAGCAGGAATCCTGTGGATCCAAGCAACTGTGAAATGACGCCCCACGGGCGACCTTAGCGCACTCCTCAGCTGAAGTCACATCATATTGCTTTATGCATGGAATGTGTCAACTCATCAAGTTTTATAGTTTAATTTTATGAAGAAATCATTTTTTTGCAGTTAACTTGGATAACTATTTTCAATAGTTTTGAGGTCCTACTACTACATCTTGAATTAGCGACCGTAGTCGGACTGCGATTGTGCAATTCCTTCTCAGGCGATGTGGGGATTGGCTTCCAAATTTAATTCCTGAATTTGCCATAATTAAATTAAATCAAAAATTTAAGAAAATGGTATGTCTTTATGTTCAAACGCCCACAGTTGCCTCCAAATGTTCGAACTTTATCGTAAGTATACAACTTCACCACTGTGGAAGCTTTATGCAACGGTGCAGGGGATGGAATTAAAAGTCTCACAAGCGATTTAATCAACACTTAAAATGTTCCAGTACAATGAGCGAGAGGTAAAGTTAAATGCATCCATACGCCACATGATTGCGTTCATGTCACATTATACAGGGAAAGGTGAGGATACGGGATGGTTAGGTTTGGAAGGTGCCTCGTCGTATATACAACTTAAAGATTCTGCTGGGACGGCAAGATACTATCCATTTGGGAGACCTCCACGTTCACACTGACACTTGTCTTCTCACTCTCCTTTTGATTGCTATTACTAGCAGTACGATTACTTGGCTGGTTGAAATGGCGCTCGTTCTGTCGCGTCTTCTTCTTCATCATCATCATCTCCTCTTTTGAGTCTGGGCGGTCGTGCCACACACGGTTTCTGGAGTTACATTTCCATCTGCGGTGATGTCTCTGAACTACCTTACTAAAAGCAGCGCAAAATCTCTATTGTTATTTGCACTACCTGTTAATTTCCACCTAAATGCCAAATTTAGATAAACTTTTCAAATGTTGGGAAGACGTATTGGCGTAGCAGAAGGATAGTTTGGCTAAAACCTTTCTCATCTATATGCACCCCTCAGAAGCTGTTCGAGAATACCGATGCAAGAGTTGCCCGACGCGCATATGACTGGACATGTGAATAAAAACCTCAACGATGCAAGACAAGCTCAGCTCTAATTCCATTTGTGTGGGCGTTTATGGCCTGAACGATGGAGGGTACCTAATGCACCGCGTTCATAAAATGAATGCTTCATGCAAAATTAAAGGATGGTGCTTAGAAGCAAATCCTATGCATAAAAGTGCAGTTTACAGTTACAAATTAAGACATACTCGTAAAGGAGAGCATTTTTGTACATTTGCCGTTGCTTGAGACGCAGTCCAAGACTGCCACTTAAGTCAGATGATTTAAGGTGAGCAACTTATGCTTAAGAATAGCATTTTCCGAGTGCTCGACACTTTTGCATGAGCAATTATTCATGCAGCAAAGGGAGCGACCTTTAAAATCACGTGCTTGATCCGAGGAAAGCAAGTCAAGATTATAGACGGTTGTAATTAACGGATTTGGTGCCTCGCGGCGTGTTGGCGATGCTCTCAATGAACGCGATCCTGAATGAAAGTGCTTCCTTCGCCTACATTCTACTGTAGGGCAGCTTAAAAACCGTATTTTTCTCAATTTAAAGCGAAACTTTTGGCTCGTGAAATGTATTTAGCAGATGCATTGACTCCAATATCACCAAGCGTGGTTACCGATCAAACACTGTAAGTACAGCTTTTTCATAAGCTCATGCTCACTAAAAAAACTATTACGTGGACTTTTTTATCTTAACTTTTATGGTCAAATAAAGCAGAGTGGTGAACACAGTCCAATCAGACAGTCAGAGATTATATCTTCAAAAGTATAGCACGTTACACCGAGGCCTCGTGAAGTAGCTTCCATGCCAACGATATATTTGTCGTAATGGTGTCTCCGCAGTGTTGAGAAAATAAACCAAACACTAAAGACGATGCCACAAAACGTTGGAGTTTTACCAACTGTTTTTCACTCTGCAAAATCCAAGCACGTATTAATGCTGATTGTGAAAAATTGTTGCTCGAAGGATTCTATAGCAGGTGGACCAACTTGGAGGCAACTACCTACACAGGACTAGTGCGCAATTAGGGTGACTCCAACCAAAAAATCTCCAAATGTCAAAAAATAAAAAATATGTCTTGAATGACATTTGTGAGCTGACTCAGTTTTCCAGATGTCAGCTTTCTGATTGTGTATGCCATCATTGCTTGCGCGCGTGCCGACGAGCCTTCACTTACCTTCGACGATTTTTTCGGCGTTCTGTTATTATCGTATGGGCACTGAACATCCAAAAGACAACCGGATTCGTGGAGGAATTCAAAGTCACCAGGTGCTAGACGAAAGATAAAAAATACTGTCCGTCAAAATATCATAAAATCCATTACAAAAGTTCGCCTGCACGATTGTTTTCTTTTGTGAAGGCACTGGTGCCACTGGCGATTAAAGCTGCGCCTCGAGTACAGCCAGTGCTTACCGGAGGGCATTTCTCGCGATAAACTGGTGGTAGAGATGTCTGCATTGTTTTGAAACAAGCTTATTAAATTTGGCTTTTGATGGCAACTCTTGTTTTAAAAAATGAGCAGTAGTTACTTCATTACTGATCCGTCCCGCTTTGGCTGGCATGAACAATTGGGCGCACACATCAAATCACGATCGACAAGTTTTCACAAAGTTTCTATGCATTCCCCGATTGCATCGGAATGCGTGCATCAAAACGGAACATCCTTTGTAAATTCCAATTCCTTTGAACTAATCAACAATTTTTAGTTGATTGACGCTTAAGGTATCACGAATTTCTTTTTTGTGTTATTAAACTGGTTTATGTAGTGCAGAAGCTCGAACGAAGGTTTTGCTTGTAGAGCACCGCTACCGTGAAATTTGTGCTGTCTGAGGATTGTCCATCAACTTAAATACGCTAATATCTTTATCAAGTCGGTTCAAGCAATGCAAAAAACCAAGTACAGACAACTGTAATGAGGTGCAAAACGCAGCAATAATGAACAATACCTAAAAATACGTAGCAGTGAGTCCGTGCATAACGCATCTAGCGATTACATAATTTCATTGCATCAGATGGTGAGAATACGAGATTGTATTTTTATTATTTTTACGAAACTGAGGTTCTTGTGAGTAACAAAAATGGAGTAATCACTCGAGAGCATGCTAGTGGCGTAGTGGTTGTCCCACAGCGTCGACTGGCACCGGTGCCTGCTCTTAAAGACCTCACGCCAATGCAATGCATGATTCTGAGGTGCTTTCCCTCTTTGTCACCACGCTTTTGAAGCCACTCTAACTTTAGGTCTAGAGCCAATTATGGAAATCATTCGCGCTAACAGTGCCCATGTTAAAGCAGAATTTCTAATTATCATAGCTTTTACTTTAACGAGTTTGCATGCATGTGTATGCACGATGTTTCAACTGCGATCAAAATGGCAAAGTATCGCCTTGGGAGACACTTGTCATACCAGCGGTGTCATTAAATCGCTTAGTAATGCCACTGTCTAGTGAATTGCATTTGGTCGTTAGCCCTCCGACATGTACGTGGACACTTCGCATTTCATTTGGACACCTCTGCTTGGCAGAGCATTGCATTTTGTTCCATAAGTGTCACAAGAGATTTTTGGGCAATGACATAAAGTGATGAAAATATCATCGTAAACTGAAATATGTAATATAGGTGGACAGGAGAAATGCAAAACAAAACTACTTATCTTGTCGTGAAACTTATAATTAGTGGACTAATCTGAAAATTTTCAAAGTAGCTGACCTGTCAAGCCGAAATCCAACAGCAAAAAATTTGTACATTTCCTTGTTTGTAGCTGAGATGTGCGCACAGATACTAAACATGTGAAGGGAATGCTGTAAAAATAGCAAGCACGTTGCTCGGTGAAAGAGTTGGCGTCATGCACCACTGTGTGGACCATTAATGCGATCGCACTGATAAACAAGTCCCTCATTTGGTTCGAATGCAAGCCAATTTGCACAAAGACTAATCAAGTGTTGGTGCGGCAAAAGAATAACTCAAAGTTAACGACTCTTAATTACCAACGTGTTTGGTGACCACTGCTGCTTGCATTTGCCACTTTAACAAAGCTCCATCAACACTAAATCATTTAGCGACTTACCTCTCCTCGTGATAGTCGCATTAACTGGGAACGGGGAAACATTTTAGAGCTGCACGTAAATTATACATGGGTTTTAATCCCAAGCGTTTCCTTTGTATAGCCCAGGCAAATAACAATCCGCAAACAAATTGCTTCAAAGCAAATATACAGTTCTCTTTAGATAAACATTTTCGTCTAGTGACAGCTTCCTAGATAAGACCACCTTATAGGCAGAAAATGTGTCATCCCAACATTTTCATGCACCAACAGATGAGTAGCATATCACTTCTTCCCAAAACGTCTACTCACACCTCGCTCCCTGCATTGAGGTAGGCCCCGAGCTTTGCCTGCTTAAAACGCTTTTCGGTCGATGCTTTACAGTACTACCAAAGCGGAATGGGACTGGCACCTCAGCGTGTGCATCAGTTGGTTTCATGTCGACATTCATCTTGCTGCTGCTTTTTGAGCCGCAATGCCAATGGCCCTTCCCTGAACTTCAAAATGCTCCTCTTGACTTAATAAAATGAATGTTCTACCGTGTTTAATCAACATCGTCACTGCTAATGGTGCAGTGCGAAAATGGGATTGGAGATGGGAGTTATTTTACTTAAATACTTTTGTTGACTTCCGGAGCTTAAACACCGTCTCAGTCGTTATCGTCTTTCAGGAAGGAATGCGTTTTCCACGTGTCCAAAATCGTTTTCAAATTTAAAGTGTTAAACAGAATGCAGCAATCACCGCTTTCGTAAGAACATTGTTACTCGAAAAATGATTGAACTTAATTGCAAGACCCACTCATAAAAGCCCAAGAGCACTGCCACAATGAGGGGCTTTCATTTCATCAAATATGCACTACATTTCATGAAATTTCCCAATTAGGATGTTATTTTGGTATTTTAGCAATAAAAACAAAAGTGGTTAATACCTTTGGGACCGTTTTTTCCCCATCAATGTTGGGGTCGCTTTCAGGTCTGGTTTTCGCAGAAATAGTTTGAATAAGGAATAAGGAAATTAGAGGTCCTAGGGACGAATGTCACAAACCTGAATGAGTGGCGAAACCGCCATCAGTCTCGGCGTGTGAGGTCCGATGACACGATATGTTATGAGCAAGTTGTATATCATATAGGGACACCAACAGATGATGTAGACTGAAAAATAAACATGAAATGCAATCGTCACTTTGGTCAGCTCGACTCGCAATTCGACTCCACCGAGGCAACTAAATACTGGCACTAGTGATCGCAGGGTTTATGGTTGATCCTGACCGAAGAATTTTAGTGCCATAACCGAGTGACTTTAACCTTTGAGAAATTACTTTCTAAGGAGCATTAAATGCTAATTATTTTGCATTTTGGATTCGCTAAATTACCCCCAACAGCAAAGAGGAAAATTGGAGCGATCGCATTCATCCTTGTGTGTAATAATGCCGGTTGTACTTTGACCAAGGCAACTACTCCCATTCTTTGACCACTTTTTTCCAAATTAACGCGACCAGTTTAGTTGTAAACGTAAGAAGAACATTTGGAAAGTACAATTTCGAACGAATCTAGAGTTTATGTGGGCAGAACATTAATGCATGGGCCCATTCTAAATTGCAGCAACTTCAACTCTTGACAACAACGCATTTATTTGGAAGGGCGAAGTTTATTGTAAACCAAGAGTGTGCAGTGAAGGCGAAAGTTCCATCAAACCCTATTGAATGTCAATGTATCACATGAACGCGATCCCCTCATACCCCGAAAATCATGCTTCTTAGTAAAGCCATAGCTTTTGTTTATCACTAGCTCAAACTTTTCAAAAATATTTCAAAGATAGAACAGCACACGTGAAGACCGCCCACAGTACTGCAGTCGTCTGTTACCACCCATTTCGAAGAAGATTTGACAAAGGGATTAGGTTTACCTGATACTATAACCAGCGTCATTTTTACGGTCTTGATTCTTGCTCGAGGAATGCATCCTGGCGAAGTTTTTATTTTAATGGGAGTGGCGCCACGAAAACCAGCCATGTGGCAGGGGCTGGAAGTGCTGTCGTTGTTGGCCTGATGAGCAGAAGGTTCGTGGCAGATGTGATCAAATGCACGTCGCAATCTCTTCACCGGCGAAGAGTGACTTAGAGGTACAGTTAGAACCTGTTCGGTGTTGGCAGCAGCCTGCCAGATGCGCACCACCATGACCACGTGGCAGAGCGTGATGAAAAGAGCGGGAAGGATGAATACAGTAACAGCAACGCTTGTCAGGTAGACCTGTAATGATTTTACCGAAGTTCTTGGTTAGTACAAGTCAGACAGCAAAGTTCCAACGTAAACGAATATCCAAGTCAACGTACAGGAACATATTGCAAAAGAAAAATAAAAGGTAATTTTGTGTTTGCAAAGAAATGACGCAAATGCAGTGCTGAAAGCAAAACAGCATTATAAAATCTAGGAGTCATAATAGTGCTGCAAAATTTAAAGGATAAATAAAAAAAGAATGAATTTTTTCACAAATGAACAAAAGTTATCAGATAAACAACAAATTAATTATATTTTTAATTGCAAAAGTGCATCCAAATTGTAGATAAACTCATTTACTTACTATTAAAGTAATACCAATATAAAAGAAGAAGAGAAAAAAATTTACAAGTATTCAAAAACAATATCAAACACTACCATAAAATTTAAAATTTTCATAGTTCAGCAAAATAGGTAGCTAATCACGGCATGCCACCAGCCTTTTCTGGCAAGACACAAGTCAGTGGCAGACTTTCCCATTCAGGAAACGTTTCGGCCCTAACGCCCAGATAGAGATGCAGTAGTTATCACTCCCACTTCACCCCACCAGTCTTCCCAACTGTCTCCCCACACGTGATCATTTGTGTGTGTGTGTGTGTGTGTGGATGCCTGTAACCCTTGAGATGGGCGATGCTCATCGCTCAGGTACACAGAGGGCCAACACGAGGGTGGGGCGCCGCCCCCCTCCCATCTTGATCAACGCACATATCCTCCCTCATAGTAGGTGTGGAGCATGAGGCATGAGGTACAGCGCTGCAGGGAAGAGGAGCGAACACTCTCCACCGAGTGAGTGAACAGTTCTGTCCACTATTGGTTAAGGAGAAGAAAATGAGGGAACGAGTTCCACCAACAGCAGTTAACAAATAGACGCTTCCGATTGCACCTCAAAACGTGGGCATTCTCGTGGGAGGAGGAGGAGGAGGAGGAGGAGAAGAGTTGTGGACCCAAGCCTTGCGCAGTGCGGTGCCGAGGATATCGCATGGCGCGATGAGGGCATGCTAATTTGCCTCACGTAGGTTAGGGTGGAGAGAAACTGCTCATCATCACAAGTCCGTCGAACAGCGAAGAGTCAAGAGTGCATTGCACGTTCGCATAAGCCTCGCAAATGCAACCCACTTGTTCAGCTTCCTCCTCCTCCTCCGCCACACCATCACTATCACCACCACTACCACCACTTTCCCCTTTTATGTGGATGCTGATCACGCACAATAAGTAGAATTAAGGGTGTGCGACAAGTCATTTCCCAACACTGTTGCCAATACCAACGAGCAATGCTCCACCTCTATTAGGTGTAGCGTGATGGTGGTGGTGGTGGTGGTGGTGGAGACTCATCATCACATTTCCGTTTCCCACACCCCTTCTAGACCCTTTGTCCTACTACTAACGCTACTGCTGCTGCTGCTGCTGCTTCACATAGCCAAATTGTCATATTTGCAAGTCCTACGAGAAGCCTCCACTTCGGCTCTGGAGTCCAGTGCCAAACCACATCTCTCCCACTCAATCAGCACTTCATGTGTGAATACGCATACCCCCATGCATGGCTGCATGCAGCTTCGGTAGGCTGTGGCAAAAAAACCAACAAGCCTTCTCGTACACATCGCATCTGTCGGAAGCATAAGTGGGGAAGCGGGACAACTCTCCCAATCCACGATGAGGCGGTAGCATCACTCGACTTCTACACTAACGGAGGCAACAAACCTAACGAGGAAGTGAAGTGGTGTAGACGGGGAAGACGGGTTACTGCCACCAGTGCGAGTAGTGGGAACTCTCCACGACCGCGGGTTCGAAGCGATGGTCGAAGGTGCTCCGACATGTCTACCAGCACAGTAAACATAGTTTGAAGACAGCACTGAACTAGTGCCCTCTAAGCATCCCCGACTCTTTGCCAAATCTCCCCATTCAACCTATGGTCATTACTGCAACCAGTTACTATTTTGATGCTACCTCGGTGGGACTCACGCGCTTCATAGCAAGCACCAACAAAGTGTTGTCGTTCCTCGCTCTCGTCCTGGTGGCCTTACCAATGCCCAGGCCCACCTCCCTCCATCCCATGCTTGACGGAAAGCGCAGTGTGCTTATTCTGGTCGCGCCTCTCTCCGTATCAACACTCAAGTCACAACAAAAATACCACCAGATGGCATCAAGTTGTTTGCATGAATGGCCAAAACATCGCTGCCCATTGTCGGTCAAGTCTCGCGCATTAATTTTGCTTTGGAGAACACTAAGCTATAAATAAAGTTCTTTGAATTGCTGAGTTGCCATGCGTTACCGGCTGGCAACTTAACAGTGAATCTAGTCAACGGGGAGTGTGTTTGCCACTCCACACTTCGCATAGCAATCGCAAAGTAGTTCGTTCTATGCAGATGGCAACAATCCGCTTCAAAGCCTCCTCTCCCAATACTGCCTCAACACCAACAGTGCGCAGACCTGTGCTCCTATTTCAACAAAGAAGCATTTGCGCATACAAAAATCCCTTTTCCACGGTCCTCGTT